AGATCCTTGAAATTTACACCATATGTTTATTTTATGAATTCCAATGTTTACGGACAATTTAAAATTTCAATTTTTGTGGCGGGGGGCTTGTTTAAATGTTATATTACATCACTACCTATTAAATTATAATATATACGCCACGGACGAGCGATGACGATGCGTCGAGGTGCTATCAGCCACCGATATCCATAATTATAGTATATAATTATTATTTGATTTCGTCCGTGTCGTTGATTTGTTTTTAACCATAATAATAATGTATAATACGAGCGATGAGCACATGGGTAATAATATATGAGTGGGTGTGTGATGTGCTACTGTGTTTTCAATAAATACGTCCGATGCGAGAGTAACACAAGGACGACGACACCCTACCGCCTGTACTTCAAAATACCTGTATAATAATAAGATTTTTGACGCGAGAGGACGCACAATAATAACAATAACAACGGCGTGTGCATACAATACATTCGTATTTGCGTTGTCGTCGCCCGCCGAAACGGATAGGCTTTTCGAAGGCGTATATAATATCATTATATCGATGTGAGCTGCAACAATACGCGATGGCGGGGGCGGGGGTGTTGTATTCGCGAGTGAAAATATTTGTATACGGACGCGATATTTCATCGTCTGCTCCGGCCCAGCGTTTCTCTCGTTTACACGGAAAATATATGGTTAGGTGCTCGTCGGCAAAACGAAACGAGGCGTATTATTATTGTACCGTTTATTATACCTATATTATATAATATTACATTGTGTCGTATTATATCGCGAGTTCTATACGCATTTTTTTTTTCGATTGTCGTTATATTATTTCGACGCTGCGTGTGGATACGCAGTGCATAGTAATAATAATAATAATATTATGTTGCCCCCATAAAGGGGGAAATCGTAAATCATACGATACGCGTACGTATCGGTACAGTTTTCGGTGATAGTTTCTCAGAGTTCTCCGAAACGATGATATTATAGCGTCTCTCTCGACGTATCGGAGAAGGACGAAACGAATATCGCAATGATTGCAGCACGGTGCAGATTCGTCAGCGTAACAAATATAATATTTCTGTAACTTGACGCCAGTGGTCGTTATAAAATATAATACTGGGGGGAGGTTAACCACCCTCCCCAAGCACTCCCAATCATGCGTGTGTCGTTTGAACTTTTGCCGCACGATCCGAATAGTGGTAGTCCATCGGATTATAGGTACCTATACAGGGTTTTTCGAATTGATTCATCCGATTTCAGATGCTTTTTAATATCAAATATTTGTACAATGTTCAGTTTTTAAGTTTAGAGTTTAATAATATGGTATAATTAAATAAAAGAATATGGTTTCAAATGTATTTAATGACACCTATAATTAATGTTCTATGTGGCTACTCTTGGTTACACGAACAACTCAATTTCGTTCTATTGTAATTGACTTTGCTAATATTTTGGCTCATCTGTGTTTGAATATTAAGTGATGTGGCATTTAATTTAAAAAATGTATAAAAATAAGTTCTGATGCCGTGTGGCTTTGCATGAAAACACATCCACATAGTCGTGGCATAGCTGAGTGGCTTTCCTTTGATGTAGACCGCCTGCTAGGTCGATCGGAAATTTTGATCCAAAGCCACAGAAAACGAATTTGTGACGTCACAATCACAAAAGCTGCTCTGTCTGGACGCTAAAATAATAATCGACCCACAATGTAAAGTGAATATATTTTTCCTTTTTTCTATGCAAGTTTAAGCGCGAATTTACATCAAAAATTTCAAATGCCAAGCACAGGACTTCCAACTGCTTAACTCACAAAGAATCAATTTTACTTCTAAATAACGATAAACTCCAAAGTTGAATAACGTTTTAATTCTGTATAACGATAAACTTAAAAATTGTGAAACGTTATAATTTATTTTAAATAACATAAAACGAATTTTTTTCAAATGCAATCCCTGATTATAATTATTATAGATGGGTAGACATAATAATAATCTTATGGACATAATATAGTACTCATGAAATTGATATTTAGAGTATTATAATTTATAGTGTATTAGACAATAGACTAAGATATACTTAATAGATACAACTAACCTATAATAGTATTTAAATGTAATTCAACTTTTATCGACTGAGGCTATTGTTTCATATGTAACGGGAAAATATAAGAGTAAACCGATCAAAATTTAATAATATTGCTGCCAAATAGTGTACTAGCAAATTATATATTTTCTTTATATTATATATATAGGTACCTCTGGTACCTATTACCCATGGGCCATGGAAATTCAATACGATAACGTATTCTCATCTATTTGCCTGTGATTTGATACACTGATACCGTATAATATTAGATATACGGTGATCAGAGAAAACAAAATATGAAACATTATATCCTAATATATTTCTAGCTGGTGCCTATAATATATATTATATGAATTTTCATTGTCATTTGCCTCGGCAGATAGACTTCTACATTTTTTTGGTGAAAGTTATCACTTATCACATAGCAGCCCCGCCGCTCCGGTAATAAGTAATAACTACCTATAAAATAAAAACGTAAAACTTTTAACACAATATGCATAAAAAATATTACATAGGTACCTGCGAGGATGTGGTTTTTCACACCCGGCTGATTGATATTTACTTTCGATTTTCGAGGTATGCAGAAAAAACTGCAGTCTGCAGCGTAGGTACTATATATAAGTAAGTACTAACAACAATGATCTTTAATTTTTAATGTATTTTTTTATTATAAAAACGACATTCAGTATGTTAAGCATGGGCAATAATAGACAAATTATTTTGGGGGGGACCCTCCTATAATATTTTCTGAAAATTATATATGCTCAGTAATATAATTATTGACTTTTAAACTGGGGGGACTTGGCAGAAATATAGGGAGACTAAGACCCCCCAAGCCTCCACCTATTTGGGCCAATGACGTTAAGGAAGGATTTACTCTTGCAGCAATAGTGTTTTGATATATTTTAACGATATTTATGAGTTATGAAGAACGGTGAGACATAGTAAGTGTCTTATTAATTGTACGAATTCGTCTGTATGAGTAATTCGTATTAAATCATCAGCGGAATTTAATGATACACTTACGTATACGTCCATATACTAGTTAACGTATTTCTTGCATGTTTTGTCTTACTGTCAAACCTATATTATTATAATATTGTAATGTACCAGATTCTTTTTTTCTATCATCAATACCTATAAATAGCTGAATTTGTTTCCATTTTTTATTTTATTTTTATAGATTTAGGTACTCATTTAATATGTTATCTACTGAAAGATTTCCTGACTTCAATGAGTTCCTTTATTATTATTTTTTTGTTAATAAAATATTTATTGTTATTATTGTATCAAAATTATACAGATTACAGTTGTCCAAATAAAAATGCAAATTATAAGCCAATGAAATAATTTTTGTGACGCTTGCACCGAAAGTTTAGTTTTCGACGATGGTTGAAGCTTTGGTTGAACGTTTTCCCGTCTAGAGGTTGGTAAAGTAGAACTTTATTCCCTGCACAACCAGACACTGAAATCCATACCACGGTCCTTACAAAACATACACTTTTGGTTACATCTTATATTGAGCAAATTCTGTAACGGTAAACGTTGGAAACGTTTGATAACAGAGAAATTTGGACACCATACCCAGCGTTTTGTCTGTTCAGTTCCAATAACCATAAATACATACCTTGGTAGAATAATATCAAACATATATAATATGTTTTATATATCTTTGGTATGTGTGTATGTTACTATCACAATTATATAATATATATACCTACGAACCTAGATCACGGAGTATCTACCAATGGTATAATTATTTATATGACTTATACCACGGTTAATTTACATACCTCACCAAGCGCTTATGAATTTCAACCTTTTCAACGTTTTAAACGTTGGCGTTCGTACTGCAAAACGTTTTGCGCTATAGAATTAAGTACCTCATTCATATTATAACCTCCATGCATGACGCTTAAAATAAATAAAACCAAATAGTTTCATTCTTGAAATATTGTTGCTGTAGAATAGTTTGGTTGTTGCATAGATCCCTACAATACCTTTGCAGTGATCGATGAACGCAGAAGGGTGACAAAAAAATAGTGTGTGTGGCTCGTGCGGGAAAGAAATTTCTGTCTTGTGGGCTTCGTCTGCGGCTCGTCGCCAACAACTGATTTAGCTCACTTCCCACCTTTGCCACACGATATACTATATTATACTCTGCTTCGCTCTTAAAAAATATAGCAGTATCTAAACTTATGTAAATATAAGTTCAATAATATTGATCATCAGTGTTATCAAAGTAGTTCTAAGTAATGTATTCCAACTATAGGTCAAACCGTATTTCGTAAATGGATAATTTTATTGCATAATATATTATATTACAAACAAATAAACAAAAATAAAATTGCAAAATCGCAAAATCGTTAATTATAATGACGGTAGAAAGGCTAAGTAATGTAACCCACAAAAACGAAATTTTCGACAGAAGTGACTAAAGTGTTAATAGTTTTGTTAAAAAAAATTTCAAAAATAATAAATTTTTCTGCTCGAATTTTCAACAAAATATGATTTGTGGGTAGGAGCCATGGGAAAAAATATGTACTGTGAAACTTCCATAAAACGAACTTCCATTTAACAAAATGTTGTGTTTAAAGAAATGTTTTTGAGAACCAAACCAAATTAGAACCAAATGTATTTAATTCTATTTAACGAAAATCTCTGTAACACGAATTGTTTTTGTTCCCCATGAGATTTCGTAATGTAGAAGTTTCACTGTATTTATTAATATGTCTGCATGTATCATTATTTCTATTTAGTTGGTATGGGTTACATAATTTGGCATTTCCACTGTCAATAATATATAGGAGGTTCACAACTCTCTTGAATAATAATATTAATAATAATAATAATAATAGGTAAATTAGTTTATCTAATGCCAACGAGATTACATAACAAAGAAGAAATAAAAACAAAAATGAATAGATGGATTAAAAATTATTAAATCTCTTGTTGACGTCCATTTCGGGTACGTTAACGCGTTCTTGGTGTCTGTACACCCTCGATTTGTCCTGGTGGTCTTTTATACGGTTGTTGTACCTTTCTATCTGTTCTTGCAATATTTGGTGTTCGATCTGTAAAGAACAAAACAATATAGTAATGTCGAGTGACCTTTTTTTTCAAATATGATGTTTTTTATTCAATTAAGGTAGGTGAATGTACAGATACCATATTTTGCGTGAAAAAATACCGACAGCGCAATATATATTATATATATATATTATCATAGACAAAAACAGTATTTGAGATTTAGGGGAGGGGGGCTGAAGATTTTGATGAAGAGATGAGCATTTTTTCATGGATTCTAATGTGGTGCAAAATCTGTAGGTTTTTGTGGGGGCTTCGCCCACTATTTGTGCCTATGTATATTGGTACCTACTATATAACTACATAAGGCACCTATATTATAGTTTTCGATAAATTCCATAGAAGTTAATAATAATGTGATATAGGTACCGTACCATTGCTCGTTCTTCGTCGAATTCCAAACATCCGATGCCGTCTAACTTTTCTAAATTGATCCGACCCTTCCACTGCACGCAAACGCCGTTCATTATAAACGGCGATAGGATGTGGACCTGCAAAAAGATACGATTATTAGTAATTGGTTTTTGTTTCCCCTGAAAAATGCTGCCAAAACTGCCTAATTTATATCATAATAATAGATAAAAGCGGGTGTCTATCATCTGAATGCACAAATGAAGTGGTATAATTTCACACATTTTGACCATGCACACTCTCGTTAAGCGTTTATAGGCTGAAGGTCAGTAAACTGCCTTTTTCTTGGTTTGTTAGCTCTTTCAGCTAAAATTTGTACATTTATACATTTATTCCTACCTATCTAATACCCAGATACCCTATACGATTAGATTTTTTGTCAAATAAACTTTTTGCCAAACTATTAGTCCAAAAATTGTATAGGTATGTACAATACCTATCCATTAATATTTTCAGAAACCATTTTAAGATTACCGTTTTAAAAATCAACGAGGGATGGTGTGTTTGCTATACGATACACAAGTGAAGACTAAAAAAATAAACGCCATTCAAAACGTTCTAGAACGAAATAAAATATAAAATGTACCTTAAATATTGTCTCGGTACATTTCGAATTAACGAACACTCGTTATTATATAGTAATACACAGTGTTAAATAGAAAAAAAAACATTTTACAATGTGTAAATGTTTGTCGTCGTCGCAGACGCAATAAAACTCAAAAAATCGAATTACCCGAGACAATGGCGGAGTTATGCGCTTGAATACGGAAATCTGGGTGCCATAAGTACCCTCGCAGGCACCCCCGCGATTCGGCCCCTGCGGACTTCATATTTATTTAGAATAATATCGCATTGTATTGCATTGTATCGCATTGCGTAACAGTCTCGACCTAACACCCACGCGGCACGCGGAATTCACCTTACACCGCGTGGTGTCTCGCGCACATGCCCCACGACGAGCGTATAATAATAATAATAATAATAATAATAATAATAATACAATAATAATGATAATGCACATCGTGTATACACCGCGCCGGCGATAGAGAAGACGACGCCCTGCAAGTCGCACAATATATAATATAATCAATTGTAAGGCTGCCGGCGTGAAAAAAGTATATATAAATAGCCGGGGCCGTGACATTTTATTCCCGTCACACTCGGGAAATTACATCCCTCGGATGCCGATAGGTGTTATAAAAATCATAACTCTAGGGGTAGTAATAACGATTACATATACGATAACGCGTACAATGCGCATCGCACGCTGCGTCCGCATACGTAATAATAATATTATTGTTATGTATATATTATATACGTACACACGGCAGCAGAATCACGCAATGCGTATTGTCCGGTTTCCTTATATATACATACTTAACGTATATAATATATGATATAATCGATTATCGTCCGTTCTATTATAATAACATAAGGGTATCATCATTGTCACACACACATGCGCATTATTGTCCGGCGCGTTTCCTGTCGTGATCTCGATCGTTTTTACGTTAGTTTGTCCGTCGTGTTCGTAAACTAAATCTATTATATCGGTGGCAATATAACAATATATTACGTGCAGTGTGTATTGTATTATGGTCAAGACGTTTTTGTGTCGTGTGTGTGTGTGTGTGTGACGCTGAGAAGAACGAAGCAACCCTTTCGTATATCCGTTCGACAGAAAATCGCTTAACGGCCACAGCGTGTAAATGTTTCGTGTGGACTTTGGGTATCTTTCATTGTGTAATCTTTCGCCTTTTTTTTGTCCACGACTACATGATATTTACGACCTTGGACGACCCGAGACGTCGCCGCCTACCGCGGTGCAGGATAACCAGCCTCCTGCAGTTATCGTCCTGCAGCGACAATAACTTTTTCTCAACATTTTTTTGTGACACTAGGTGTAATTTTAGAATAATATAATATTATCACTCCTTACAAGAGATATTACGAAAAGGGACAAATGGTCACGCAGCCGTCTGCAGGACGTGACCGTTTGGACGCCAAAAACTAGCCTAAAATTATTAAAATAACTTAAGCTATACATAAAACTGAAAAATCATAGTTTTAGATTCAAACGCAGCTCGTCATTCCAATCGATTAAATCCAAATTTTGTCTCATCAATCGCCGATTCTGAATCGTGAGTAAATGTGTTTGTTTATCGTTTATGAGTTTCAAAGCTCCTAAGTTGTGATTTTCCATATGGACCATACATATTTATATTCAATTTTATACTTGCACCTCTAGACAACAAAAACCTTACGAAAAATTGGCAAAAACCATAAAACGTTTATCATACGATTGCATTTATGTATCGTTGTCTGCTATCTCGTTTTCAACTAACGTTTTTATTTTAAGAAAGCAAGCAAACATAATATTACTTATGATTGTCACATTTCGCAGCTGATTGTTAGAACATACAAATATGAAACAATCAATAAACCTTAAAAATATACTACCTACTTATTTGCTGGTAGGTAGCCAGGTAGGAACTGTACAATATTTATGAAAATACTAATTTTATATTTTATGCCAATTTGGCTTCACGTTCAAGTGCCCTAAACCGGATATTATATTAGTAGTTGGTAGAAATTTCTGAGTATTTTTAGGTACAAGTATGAAAGTATGAATTTTTCTAATATTTATAAATATATTTAAATTTATTCATAATACAATATACAAGAGTAGTATATATTTATATATTCTGAGCACCTCTTTTACAGAGAGATTTCTTCAGTTTAAGTCGTTATTTCTACATGCTCCAACGTTCACAGTACTTTTTTGCAGAATTTAAATTTGTTTAATCATTTTATAATATGTAATAAACCTATGAGAAACTATATCAACACACTTTTTGATTGAAAACATCTATGAGGACAGACTCGGCGTTTACTGATATATATTATACAATATCAATACTATGTGCCGAATACGCGTTATAGACTTTTTCTGTACCTAATTTTCATCACCATTTCGTATAATAGTCCTCTAAAACTATGATTCAGGGACAATGTTGGTCCGTTGACCCTTCGATCGTCAGGCCCGAAGAATTTTAGTCACGATCGACCGACGTACAATAGCTCGTAAAATGTATATTTCACGTGATATATTATATATTTATTATACAAATACCAATCGGACGTATATGTAACGCTTTTAATATGTATAAAGTATATAAATTCCCAGCACCAGTTCGTAATATATATTATATATACATATGCGTTTTATACATCGCACTGTATAGGGACGACGACGACGTTATAAACATATATAACAATATATATATATACAATAAATAATAATGTTATACGCATAAAAAAGAAGCGTCGAACAATATTGTTGGGTATAAAAATAGGGTATAATATATATATATGGGTATAAAAAAAAGGGTTTTTGGACATTGGGTGCGGATAATATAATAAAACCCTTTACGGTATATATTGGTACACATATATTATAATAGTACACGTGTTGATTAGATACGCGTATAGTGTTTGCCACATGACTGGGTGCGCGACCCGATACACCGTATATCTATTATTATAATATATAGTGTTACATTATATACCTATAGGCTATAATACACATCAATACATCGTGTATATAATATTATATCGACCCGATGTCGAATGCGCGTGTAATCGGTGAAACTTTAACACTATGTATACAATACAAACATGCTGGTTAGGTGGCAGCTCGTATTCGATATTCATAATATGTATATGTATACATTATGGTATTGTATTGGTATTCACTATTCGTACATAGGTAGATGTTTACAGTTGAACTTGATTAACTTGAACTTTTTCCCGGTCCCTAAAAGGCCGGTCACTTCAACTGTGCACTACATAATATAAAGAATATATAATATTATATAATATATTTATTTGCTGAACAACCACTGTCAATGGTTTCATCTTGGTTAGATTTAATTTTACACCATTCCTAATGTTATATATTTTTATTATATTTTAGTAGAAGAATTTCGATGATGGTACAATATATGGCTTATACATTTTTAATACGAATATAGTTAATATTATTTCAAAATCCGTTATTTTTATTAATTATTTTCAAATCATAATTATATAGTCAATAAGTTTTTATATATTAGTGTAGTTATCGAAATAACGATAGTGCACAATCAAAGTTATCCTATTTGGCTAAAGCATATATATTAGTATTATCACTCTTATCTGTACAACTGCAGAAGGTTACTTGGTTTTTTCCCACGCATAAAACATTATGCTTATGTTATGTTTTCGATGTTTTTAAATTGCTATGAGAATTTGATTAGGAAAGTTGTTGCATTTTAGAGCTATTTTATGAAAAAAATCACACATCCATATAGAAATAGGACTAAAAAAAGTTTAAATTTAAAATGCTTATAGGTACCTAATATATTATATTCTAAATATTTGTTCAATGTTATTGTCTATAGAAAATGATAATTTAAGTAATACCTAGCAGAATTTTTCAAGCATTTTTAAATATCTATAATGTCTAGAAAATGAGAACATGTAAAATATTTTTCTTTTTTTAATTACAACAAAATAATAAAATCAGTTTTGTCAAAAACTGGCGTTGCGTAAATATTCCCACGTCCCGCGGTTGTCGACTGTTTGTCTTAAAAAAAATTCCCGATTATTACGAAAAGTATAGTGTATTCTTAACTTTGACTACTAACCATAAATAAATAGAATGATGTAGGCACTATAGACAGCACCCTAAATGTCGAAGTTTGAAGAGTTTTAAACTGACATAGGTACCTATGTATACATTCATTCTAAAATCATTCCTATTCACGCTCAGAATGTACCTAATATAAACGTTTTCTTCTCTCTACAGTCAAGTGGCTCATACAATATATTATTGTACAAGCGTATTATTATGCATGCACAATATGCAATATCATAAGATACCTATATTACACAATGCAATAATTTCCTAGGCAACAATGTCCGACGTTACGGAAGTAATATCATGTATACACGTACGCGTGCAAAGGTTTGACGGTGTGTGTGTGTGTGTCAGTGTGTGTGTGTATATTGGTATATTGTGGTGTACACTGTACATAAT